GGTGGGAATGCAATGGAAGCGGATAGCTGGACGCTGGATGCTGGATATCGGAATGCTGAGCTGGCACAGGTCGGAAAGCAAAAGGTGGAAGTGGGAGCGAACGTTCTATCTAGGCCTCCTAGATGGGGTCGGAGCAGATGGGGTCGGACGATCGCGCCGCGTCGCTGATGCATCGCCGATGCAGCTCGATGTGGAGCCCGATTTCCTTCACGTCGACGTCGCCGATGCATCGCCCACGTCGACGCCTCATCGGCGGTGCATCGCCGATGCATCGCCGATACATCGCCGATGTATCGCCGATGTATCGGCGATGCGGCGCGGTCCTCCGACCCCATCTACTCCGACCCCATCTAGGAGCGCTCTATTCTACCAATGCCCAAAGAGAGAGAGAGAGAGAGAGAGAGAGAGAGAGAGAGCGAGAGAGAGAGAAAAAACAAACAAAGAGAGAGAGAGAGAGAGAGAGAGCAGGCGCCCCACTCGGAGGTGCGCCGCGCCCGCGCCCGCGCCCGAGGGGCTGGGCTCCGGGCTCTGGAGGGCGCTGCCCCCCCGCGAGGCCTCTGCCCGGCGACGGGCCCTGCGCTCCGGCTGCGGGTGGTCTCCGTCGGCGCCGCCCTCGCCGCCGCCGCTGCGGGCCCTCGTCCAGAAGAGGAACAGGCACCGGTGCCGATAGCCCTCCCTCGTCGCCACGGTTGGATTCGCTTCCGGAGCCTGGTCGGAGCACGCCCCTGGAGCGGTCCAGGGAGTGGTGGTATCGGTACTCTTGCTGTCCCCCCGATCGTCACATCGCCACCGCCGTCGTTGAGGGCGTCTGCCTCGCCATTCTGATGTACCACCGCTTTCTCTGCGCGATCCTTGGGGCAAACGCCTGTGGAGCCTAGCGTGGCAGGCAGCAAAGGTCAGAGTGCACGCTCCTCGTGCTCGTCCTCGCTCTCTCTCCTCGTCCTCCTCCTCCTCCTCCTCCTCCTCCTCCTCCTCCTCCTCCTCCTCCTCCTCCTCCTCCCCCTCGTCGTCGTTTTCTTCCCGATCCGCCTCACCGCCCCCTCCTCCACCACTCCCCCCCTCAATTTTCAATTTCCTCCCTCTTCCCCCCCTCAATATTAAATTTTCAATTTCAATTGTCAATTTCCCTCCTCTTCCTCCTCGCCCTCCACTCTGGCCGCTCTGCTGGCCTGCTCTCTTTCACTCTGCTCGGTCCCCGCCGGGGCCCGCTGCACAGGCCACCGTGTCTTCCTGCATGCTGGCGTCCCCCGCCGCCGTCCGGTGGCATGCGCTTGGCGGGCAGGAGCTGCTGAGCTCAGAGAGAAGATGCGCCGAGGTCCTCCTCGTCCTCATTCTCCCTCTGCGTCGCCCCTCCCTCGCACTCAAACTCTGCCTCCTCCCGGCCACTCTTCCTGCTCACCTGCCGCAGAGCAGGGGTCTGGGCATATCATGCTTCCTGGACGACGAGGGTAGCGTCAGGAAAGCAATGCACGGCACTGTTCCTGGAATGAGTGCAGTCGGACCAAGGCCAGCAGAACATCCCTCAAGAACATGAGGCCCTCCGTCGGCCAAAACAAACCGAGCATCCGAGGGCACCCTCCCCAGGATGCACGAGGACATCCAAACAAACACGAAGAACACTAGGGCACCCTCCCCGAACCGACGTCGATCTTATACTTCGGTCCGACTGTACATCATTGGGGGTTCCTGCAGGTCCTGCGACACGGGGCTGAACCCCTTCGATTTGGCATATAGACAGTGCCACAGTCTAACGATTGTTTGTAGGCGCGGGCACGCCTGGTACTGCCAGGCAGGCCGACCGCATGCTGACCTCTGGAAAATATGATCTGGAATGCGATGCAATACTCGTACTCGGGTGGGGGGGACCTGGTGGTTGTGAAGGTCAAAGCGCGTTCCAAGACGTCAGAATCTGAGCTGCTCGAGGGAGTCGAGCGCAAGGATTCGTTAGTCCATTAGGCCGCAGATCTGCAAGCGACGAGAGGGGGCCAACCTCTACGAAGCTCCCATCCATCTCGTTGGCACATGGGCGTCGCGCTCGAAAGAAATCAGTGCGATGATGGGCCCCCCCCTCCCCCGCGTGCTCTTCCCCCCGTGCTCCGCTACCTTACCTCGACCTCGTCCTTACCATCATCCTCCTCTTCCTGCCCCTCCTCCCCCCCCGTCCTCCGCGTCCTCCTTCTTCTCCTGCTCCTCCGACTCCCATTCTCCTCGTCCTCCTACTGCTCCTTCCTCCCCTCGTCCTCCCCCTGTCCCTGCTCCCCCTCCTCATCCTCCTCCGCACCCACCTACTCCCCATCCTCCCCCTCCTGCTGCTCCACCGCGTCCTCCGCCTCCTCCTCCTCCTCCTCCTCCTGCTCCTCCTCTTCCTCGTCGTCCTCGTCCTCGTCGTCGTCTTCAGGGTCGGCGGCACCAGCCGTAAGTCCTTCAAAAAAGTGCGATGTTGGGCCTCGTTGGGGCCATCACAACTGATGTCTAATGTCGGCACGTTCGATGACAGACACCCCTGGCCGTCCTGAGCATGCCGCCTGATCTGCCGGCCCCCCGTCAGAATCGTGCCCCTCTCCCTCCCCCGTTGTATCGCATGTGCCACGAGAGCCCACGGCGACGGAGCCAAAGCCGTGTCCTCTCGAGAGCTTTTACTCTTGCTGCTTTAAGCGCGGCGCTGCCCATGCCTAAGCACGCGCAGGGCAGAAGCACAGGGACGGCACAGCCTGGGCAAACTTTGGCTTCGGCTCGAACTTGCCACGTCGTTCGTGCTCTGACTACGCCTGGCCACGAATTGCCGGACAAATTTTGCAGGCAGGGCTTCAAAACCCGCACGGCGGTTGGAAGAACGTTTCGCGTGGCGACCAGGCTCTTGTCGGGGGGCCAAGACGGCACCAACTGACGCGTGCAGCCTAGCACGCACTCTGTCGCACCTGTTCCAACGCTCCTCCTCCTCCGCCTCCTCCGCCTACTCCGCCTCCGCCTCCTCCGCCTCCTCCGCCTCCTCCGCCTCCTCCTCCGCCTCCTCCTCCGCCTCCTCCTCCTCCTGTTCCAACGCTCCCGCTTGCGTGTTGTCGACCGCCGTCCTAAGGACCCCAAGGATCACAATGCCGAGACTGGACGCACCAAGTTGCTTGATGGTCGACGCCCGTACAAGAGCACGAGGCTCCCAGGCGAAGTGGTGGCCCTGTCCCGTGCGGAGGAGCTGGCCTCTGGTGCGCTCAGGGGGGCCGCCAAGGATGGAACTGGTAAGGTGTAAATGGGCGCGAGGCGCTCTCCGATCCTGTAGAGGGGAAGCCGCATACCTGGGTTCAACTCCTGTGAGGAGGCTGAGTCCCTCGGGTCCCGTGCGCGGGGGCGCTGACGGCTAGCTGGGCCGCCCCCCTGGGACCTCGACCCCTGACTCGCTTGGAATTGTGTGTTGCTATGATGCATGTTCAATACGGCTGCACCGTCATAGCTGTTTCCGAACTCCTCCTCCCCATGTTCCATATCCTCATCCCCTCCTCGTGCTGCTCTTCCTCCCCCTCCTCCTTTTGTTCCTTTCAATCCCGATCCTGCCCCCCCAGCACAAAACGCGTACAATGAGTAATTGGATGTGCGCTGGGCGAGATGCCGTGTCCCAACTGCATATCTTCCGTCCAACCGTCCTTTGGATCCTTAAGCTAGCAGACTGCACCCTCGAGAGGACCCCCTTCTGGGCACCATCTAACCCTCAATATGCAACCTGTAATCCCCCATATGCGCCTTCTAGAGCCCTCTCTGGCCTCTCTGGAGACGCCCTCTGGGGCCTTCCAGCAAACATCTAATGACATCTAACGTCGCTCGATCCATTTAGAGCCCTCTGCCAAGCTGTGGCATACCCGCTCGCCGCCGTCGCCCCGTCGCCGCCACGGTCGCCGTCGTCGAAGCCAATACCGCCATCGCCGCCGTCGTCACTATCGCCGCCGCCGTCGCCGCGACACGTTTCTGGTCACAACCGTCGCCCTTGTTGCCGTCGACGCCGCCGTCGCGGGCCGCTGCCACTTCCGCCGCCATCGCCGTCGTCACCGTCGCCGCCGGCGTCGTTGTAGCCATCGTCGTCAGCGTCATCGCCGCGCCGCCACAGCGGTCACCGTAATCGCTATTGTCGCCGTCGTAGCCGTCCCCGTTGCTGCGTCGCCGCTGCGGTCGCTGGGGTCGTCGCTGTCGTAGCTGTCGGCCTCCGTCCGTCGCAGTCCTCGCGGCCGCCGTCGCCGCGTCGGCGCCACGGTCGCCGTTGCGAATGGCCGTCGTCGCCGTTGCCCTCGTCACCAGCTGTCACCATCACCAACGCCAGATTCATCATCACAACGGCGATGTTTATGGACATCTCCCAGAACCGGTGCCAACTCAACACTCGTCGTCGGACCGATGCCGTCGCGTACGTCGCCGTCGTCGCCGCCGACATTGCCGTCGCCGTCGCCGTCACTGTCGCCGTCGCAGTCCTCGTCGCCGTCGTTGTGACGGTCCCCGTCGCGCGTCGCCGCCGCGGTAGCCGCCTTCGTCGTCGTCGGCGTGGCCACCGTCGCAACCGTCGCCGCCGCAGGTCATCGCCGCGTCCTCGCCGCGGCCGTCGTCGTCGCCGTCGTCGTCCGCGTCGTCGTCGTCGTCGCCGTTTCTGCGTCGCTGCCACCTTCGCATGTCACCGTCGTCGCGCGTCGCCGTCACCACGTCGCCGCGGCGGTCGCCTTTGTCGCCTGCTGCCATTGCCATTGCCGCCATCGCCGCCGTCACCGCCGCGTTACCTCCACGGTCGCGGGGTCACCGCGCCGCTGTCGTGTCCGTCGTCGTCGCTGCCCTCCTCGTCAGCACCGTCAATATCACCGTCGCCGCACCGCGGTGACATCCGTGGCCGACCCGTGGGTATTTTGCAATTGTGTTCCTCTTGGGCCTTCATTGGGCGTTCCTCGTGTCCTGTCGAGGCCTTCGTGGACCACCTTGTCCACCCTGCTCATCTTTCATACTTCCCCGTTCCTCAATGCCTCCCCTTCCTCCCCCGGCTGAGTTCTACATCTCTACATCCGCGCCAGGGCATCCTACCTTATCAATGATTTATGGGCGCAGCATAGCAAGCCCACGAGCCCTTGTTTCCCTATCCGATCGCCCTGCAATTCATTGGAATGTCTAGCAGCGAGTGGAGGACAGCGCATCAAAGAAGACCAACCACATGCAATGATCAATTTTTCGCGTTGGCGCATCAGGGACCTCTTGACGGCAGTCTGCCGATTCGCATCACAGTCTGGACAAGCTGCGTGAGGCCGAAAAACTCGCCCTGGGCTGGCGCAGGTCGAACTCTTGCATCTCACAGGCCGTTCCGAAGAAGTAGGTTGAGCCAAGAAACAGAAAGGCAGTTCGAGTAGCTTTGGGCCTGGTTGGCCCAAGCAATAATTATGTTGAATTCTGAAGCCGTCGATTCTTGAAATAAGAAGGGTCCAGAACAAATACATTAGGATCTGGAAAATCCAGAGCACAGATTTTCAACGAACGGCCTGCACTGCAAGTCGAATGCCGAGCCGCCGACAATGAACTTGCCTGTCCGGCTGCTGGCCCGCGCTGAAACATATGTGCGTTACGTCTTGCGTACGTGCACAAAAAGACACTGACTCCCTTGAGCGAACAGATAAACCGAATTGAGATATTTGCCGCGGTTGAACTCGCTCGCCAAGCGAGCGAAGCGCGCGGGGAATCCGCCACCGTGGCCCCTGGCACGCTGAGGCGCGCTGGCATGCCAGGTGCTGTCTGGCAAGTTCCCTGCAATCTTCTATATGGCCCCCCCCGCTCGTCGCATCCCCCTGCGCGCACCGCCCCCCCCCTTTCCGAGGCTCTGTCGGCGCCCGGTCGCGTCCCTGGCGCTCTCGGCGCGCACCCACCTGCGTGCACCTCCCCCCGTCGTCCCAGGGCCACAGCCCCTTGCGAAATGCGGCAAATTCGCGCTCCCGAAGCCCAGATGCCTCCAAGACGGCGCAATCTCGCTCCAAGACGGGCCTATTTGGCCATAGGACTGTCCAGCATGGGTTAAAGACGGCCCACAAGGCCGTCGAGGCGTCCCAAGAAAGCTCTAGTAGCCCTCCCAATATGGCCCCGATATGCAACAATCATTGACTGTCCTTACGTTTCCAACTGTTTTTTTAGGTTCTTGCACTTCGAGCTCCCGACGTCCCACAACGACCCAAAAGGCCACCATGACTGACCCAAGACGTCCTAAGAGGCCCCCAAGAAGCCTCCAAGACGGGCCCCAAGAAGGGCCCAAGAGGGAGAACTCGAGCCTTCCGCCCCAAGAGGGCTCAGGAGGCCCCAGGAAGGCCAAAGAGGCCTTCAAGAGGCTTTCAAGGGGGCCGCGAGAGGCAGCACACAATTGCTTTCCATAGCCTTCAATGATTTGTGGGTTCTCGCCTTTTCGAGCTTCTGACGCTCCAAAGCGGCCAAGATGGGGAAACCAAAAACTACCGATACGGCTACTCCCCGGACCTCTCCAGGGGTGCGTTCTGATTGGAATTTCGGCGGGAATCCAGCGGTGACGATGAAGGCCTCCCAGAAGGACCAGAAAAAGGAAAACGGGCGAAGGGTAGCGGCAACGGTACCTTTTCCCCCTCGGACAAAAGGCCCGGAGGCCCCCCAAACGACCCCGAGACGGCTCAGGAGGCCCCCAAGAGAGCTCCGAGATGGCCCAAGAATGCTTCAGGACGGCCCAAGATGCGCCCAAAGCTTCCCAGGATGGCCCCCAAGACGGCCCCAATAACGCCCCATGAATGGGAACACGGAGCAAGAATCCCACCAGCCCTCTGTGCATAGGTGGTCTAGAGGGGCTCCTCTTCCAACCCCCTTTTTCCCCTTCGGGGAGGGGTTTGCTGTACCCCTCCCCCTAACCCCCTCCCCTTGTTGCCCGGTATGTTTCCCCACATCCCTGATCAGGGCAACTCGTCTGGACATCGTTGCTGGATGGGCTGGTGGGGTTACTTTTGGTCTGCGGGCCCGCGAAGCAGGTCGAAAGCCGTCCGAACACCAGTCGGGCCGTGACTAGGCAGCAAGAAAAGAGAGGCAAGCGAAGCGAGCGACTGGTGGGGTTACTTTTTAGTCAGCGGCCGCAGGCGAGCGCGCCAGCGGCGAGTCCACTCAGAGCGGGGCGCGCAAAGACGAATTAACCTAAAGCGGTGGGCCGAAGCCTCACGCGGCACCTCAGCGGCCAGGCCGGCGAGTGGGAAGGGGCAGACAGCAACAGCTGAAGAGCAGCACTGCCAGGGTGCACGCAAGCAGCGCGCCGCAAGGAGGGGCAGGCAGCCAGGGCTGGTGGGGTTACGCGAAGCGTCAAGAATTTGAGCCTTCTGCCTCTAGGCCCCCAGCAAAACCCCGTGCGTTCTCGACTTGTTGTCGCCCAGAATGCTGCGCTGGCGCGGTGGTGGTACTGCTGGAGGCAGCTCGATAAAAATGGGCGCAGAGACGACGATAGGACTCACGACTATCATACGATGCCACGTCAAATTGGCATTGCGATGTTTGCTTCGAGGTTTGTTGGCGCATTTGTTGGCTTTTCAGATCATGCAGATGAGACTTAGGCGTCGGTCGAATGGAACAAACACATGCCACACACGAATTCCTTTGAACAACGGCGGCCTCTGGGCGATGAGCCGTTCGGCGAAGGGAAGCGTTCCACACGCCGCTTCACATAATTTTGATATTTGCATACGTACTTCGTCGAGTACAACATGCTCTTTGAGTGAATCGTGCTTTTTGGTTTCAGCCGCCGACGACCAAATCCTTGATGCGACAAGGACGCCTCCTGAATGCGACAATGAACACAACAGGGGGACGCGGGGCGCTGTTTCTTCAAAGCGAGGGCCCGACGCCACAGGATTCTTGAGACAGAGCATGAAAAAACCATTGGTTTCCCACCGAGAAACTTACAGGTTTTCTGCCCGCGCAAATGTGGTGAAACCGAAGAAGCCCGCATGCTTTAAACAATCTCGCCCCGAGCCCGCAGTCGCGTCCCACCACGCGGTGCACCAGCACAGATCCGGCACGCGCCGTATCAAATAATGTCATGCAGGCCACGAGCGCGCGCCGCCGCGCGCGCGTCGAAACCCGTCCAACACAATTCGTGTGCGAAGCCTCGGAATATAGAGCGATTCAACCACATTCGAACATAATCCAGGTGCCTTACAACAAAGCGTCTGCCATATAACTGCAATTTCTGCTCGCACGCACATGCCCATCACCCTCATTAGTGCCATCGCATCACCCCCGTAACATCATCCGCGCAGCCTTTGGCCTTGCCGTCGCCGTCGTCATCATCGCCACCACCATCGCTACTATCATCATCGTTGCCGCCATCGTCGACGTCATCTTGATATCGCTCCCACCCGAATCACCGACCCGCACTGAAGTGCCTGCGCGCCAGCGCGGCCGTCGGGACGCGCTGGGAAGTTCCCGTCGGTAAGCGCCATCGTGGTCGCAGCAACTGTGTCAAACCTAGTGGCCGCCCTGCGCGCGAACGTTCGCGCGCCAACGAAGCCGCAAAGATGCGCCAACAATCGCAAATATGCAACCGTGATCGTGGCCGATTTGGCGTTGCCAAAGTTGCGGGTGGGAGGATGGGGCGCTTGGGCGAACACTGGTGTTGACAATGCATGCGTTTGCAAAAACAATACGTGCGCCAATTCGGTTGCACCACGCAGCTAGCACACATAGGTTATTCGACATACATGCGCCCGTATACATGTACGTCTGTCTGTCTCTATCTCTGTCTCTGTCTCTGTCTCTGTATGTCTGTCTGTCTGTCTGTCTGTCTGTCTGTCTGTCTGTCTGTGTCTGTCTGTCTCTGTCTGTCTGTCTGTGTCTGTGTCTGTGTCTGTGTCTGTGTCTGTGTCTGTGTCTGTGTCTGTCTGTGTGTCTGTGTGTCTGTGTGTCTGTATGTATGTATGTATGTATGTATGTATGTATGTATGTATGTATGTATGTATGTATGTATGTATGTATACACACACATCTGTATACATATGCATACATCTATCCATTCAAGTACATCCGGTACATGCTTTGCGGGTCGGCAGGGCCCCCCGGTCTAGCGTCTAGCACCCCAGAAGAGCCCCCACGCCGCCCATGGAAGTACCGAGACTACCCAAGGCGGCCCTCGTGCGGCCCAAGATGCTCTCCAAATGGCCCAGGAGGCCCCCCAAAACGCCCCCGGACGGCTTCAAGTGAGCACCCTCGGAGGCACCAATGGATGGAAATCATAGAGTGGCTATCGATTCTCTGTACTCTTTTACGTTCTCGCGTTCTCGATCGTCGGGGCCCCCGAAACGGCCTCAGAGGCCTCGGGGATCGCCCTGAGGCGGCCCGGGAGGCGCCCAAGAACGCCCCCAAAGAGGTCCAGGAGGGGCCCAAGAGGCCCCCAAGATGGCCCAAGAGACCCCCAAGAGGCCCCCAAGACGGACCAAGAGGGCCCCAAGTCTGCCCACGAGGATCCCAAGACGGCCTGAGATGCTTTCAAGACGGCCCCAGAGGGCCCAAGACGCCCCAAGAGAACCCCATGAGAAACCCTAAGAGGGCCTCAAGAAGCTTTGGTTGTCGATCGCTCCCTGCAGCTTGCTGGCATTCGACGAGGACGTAGCTTCGGGAGGGTCGGACACCTCGGCCCTTTGTGCACAACATTTGGGTGACTCCCGCGGGGAGCGAGCCGAACAAAAACACTGCACGGGTTCATTGGCCGTGGCTGTGACCGCCAGACCCCAGCATGCCACCAGACGCCAACTCACTCAACACCATGGATTCCATCCACGAGTCCACACTGCAGGCTCGGACATATTGTTCCTACCGCCACACCAAGGCACCAAGGCCCCAACAACACCAGAAAGACACATGAAGGCTTCTGTGCCCAACCCCGTCCGCATCAACGGGCGCGCGGTGCAAATGCCCCCCCCCCGCAAAATGCTGCACGGGATTTTCCGCCTGCGGGGGGCCCCTGTGGGCATCCACTCCTTTGATCGGAATCTTGTCAGGGATAACAACTCTGCCTGGGACGTCTTCAAAGTCTGACTGGTTCGGCCCCTGGTTGGGCCGCGCCCCGCCTGAGACATCCTCGAAATTTGCCTGGTTTGGCCCCTGGTTTGGCCCGGTTTGGGGCCAGTGTCGCATGAGATGTCCTTGGAACTTGCTTGGTCTGGCCCTGGTGAGGGCTGATGTGTGCTCTGTTTCGCCAGAGACGTCGTCAGAATTTGCCTGGATTCACCCTGGTTTGGCCTGGTTTCGGCCCGGTTTAGCCTGAGACGTTGTCAGAAATTGCCTGGTTTGGCCCTGGTGTGGCACGGTTTCGGCCCAGTTTCGTGTGAGGCGTCCTCAGAATTGGCTTGTTTCCTCCATCGTTTGGCATGGTTTCAACACATGTCTGCACTGTTGGAGAACATGCGATACGGTCGCCGTGCGGTCTCACCACGCACTGGGATGTGTCACGTTGTCTTCGATACCGAATGGTCAATTGGCAGACGTCGTGGTGGGCGTGTACAATCCGAAGCAATGGTACGGTGTCATGAGCACCCATTGTGGTCCACATGTAACAGGACTGCACTACAAAAAGGCAGGCGGCATGGGTGTGGATATTCCCAGCACGATGTGGATCAGCATGGCCTCGTGTGGCGCCGTCAGGAGAAAACCATTTCGATGCTGTAGTGTACGTATATGCGTATACGTACACACATATGTATGTATG